GCCCGGCGGACGGCCACTGCGGCCGGTGGCACGCTAGTTCTCCCATCCCTGGGCCGCCCACTGCCTGTTGTTCTAGTCTCAAATGCGAGGCTCGAAGGCAGCCCTTAAAGCGGCCAGCTACGGAGAGCACTTGGAGTAAAGTTGAAGTCTTCCTCTGCAACACTTCTGGGGTGGTGGGAGGAACGTTGTAAGTCAACGGGAAGGAGCTACAACTTGGGGGGGGGGGGTTGTTGTGGTTGTGTTGTTTAAGCAGCATAAGGAGGCAACCAGAGACCATTAACTAGGGGTTTCTGCTTTGGGCTTTAGTCTTAAGCCAGCCAGCTGTGAATCAAAGGAGATGAGGCTAAAAACCCTGGGCCTCGGAGAGGCATCTGGAACTGTCCTTCATCCCAGACCTGAACCCCTCTCACCTGACACCATCCACGGCCTCACACAAAGCGAAGCATGTCCTTTCGGTGTCACCCAGCTCTAGCATGAAGGCACGAGGGAGAAAAATCACCACCGGACTTTGTTTTTTTTTTTACGACCCAGTTTGTGTTGTCAGTTGGGTTCACTCAGAAGTTAACTCCTTCTAACAGCATGGTTACCCAAAACTGACTGGTTTTTTTTTTTTAAGGAAGGGAGAGAGAGAAAGCGAGAAATAGAGACAGAAACAGAGACAGAAAGAGAAACACCCACCCCCACCCACCTCTCTCCCCTTGCCACCTCAGCCAAGATTGTGTTAATTGACTTCATCGCCGTGGACTAAAGGTGCCCCCGCAGGCACGTGTGTGCAAGGCAGGAAAGTGGGCAGAGTCACCTCCCCGAGTCTGCAGCCCTCAGCGCTGAGTCACAAATACCCTCCTTGGCAAGTGAAATCCTCCGAATGCCCTTTAAAGAAAATTAGCTCGCCGCTTTTGCACGCGCGCGCACGCTCGCACACCAGAGAGACACCCGGGAAACCCACTCCAGATGTACACTCTGGAATTTTTTTTTAAGCAGAGGTTATGCCCTGGTCTAGAAGAACAACACTCTGGTAAGCTTTCTGTCTCTTCCAAGTCATCCCCCCCCCCCCTCGAGCTCCTCAGCCCCACTGCTCACCAAGTCTAAAATCCGACTTCAAGTCCTCCCTCTCCACAGAACAATCAGTCAGCAATCTTCGCCTACGGGGCTTGTAGACCCGCGTGGAGGGGGGGGGGGGAATAAACAATACGCTTAATTTACAATTCAAGCCGAATCCCAATTAGAGGAAAGGGCAAAGCAGTAAAGGAAAGAAGAAGAAGAAAAAAAAAACACCTTAATTTGGACACAAGCTACCTACCGCCTGCAGGAAACGGAATGCATTTTTTAAGTTCTCAGTAGTTAATGATTAAAGCTTTAAACTCGGGGTATCAGTCCATTCAAAAGAAACTTACTAAACCCGATCTTCCCAGTTATCAGATATAAAAGATCACTGTTATATGAATAAATCATGCCCCTCTCCCTTAAAAAAAAATGGCCTTTCAGCAAAGACGCTGCACCCCTGCCAGCAGCAGCAGCAGATCTGCAATTCCGGAGGCTCTTTTTTTTCCCTGAGCTGGCAAGATGAGAGAGAGCCAGCGAGCGAGCGAGCGAGAGAGAGAGAGAGAGAGAGAGAGAGAGAGAGAGAGCGCTCCCTTCCCGCATCCCTTCCCCCCCCCCAGCCCCTCCGCCCAGCCACCACCTCCTTGATAGTTACAATCCGAGCGTGTCATCTCACGGACACCAAAGGGTTAATGGTTATACCTACCAAATCGGCTGTGGTCTTTCCTGGTTCCCTGGATAGTACCGTTGGGGAAGATTTCTAAGTGAAATCCAGTCCTGCAGTAGAGCTGCCTCCGTCTGAGAATCCCCTTTAAATGATCCAAGTCCGTGACTGCGGGTCCCCTGGGTAGCCCTCCTGCTTCAGACTGACCCAGGTGGTCACTTAACAAAACCGGGCTGTCCACCGGCAACACGGGCACATTCCCAAACGGTACCGCATCCTGCACACCGAAATAGTTCCCAACTTCACCTAAGGGAGCCATCAGAGGACCCAGCTTTTGGAGCACGCGAATAAACAATAACGATGGTGTCAACCCCAGGAGATATTAGGCGAGGTATATCCAACTCCCTTCCTTTACTGCAGTTGCAGAGAGTGAGTGGAGGAGAGGGGGCGGGGGCAAGGCTCTTCTCTTCAATGCATTAAATGCATAAATAAAAGTAATCTGCTGTTTCACTGGCACCGGTTCAAGGTCAAACCACGGATCGTCTAAGAAACCACGGCTTCATACTCTCACACTGACATCGTGATCATCGTATCTGTGTATCTCTACAGACAGAGCCTGGCTCTCAGCAAGCTGCAAGGTCTTCATCCCATCCGACCGGAATAAGGGAGAAAATCCGTAGTGGCTCCATTTGCTTTGAGATCAGAATGACCATAGCAACTTTAAAAAGAAAATGCTCAGGCGTTAGGATAAGAGATTTTTTTTAAAGATGCTCAGGCTACGTCAGAATTTACGGATCCTGACTCCAAGGAAGGCATGCGCTGTTTTTACTCTCTAACCGACTCTGCAGACATCAGCATGAATCCTTCGCCCCGAGAGGAAAAATTAATAATAATTAATAATAATAATAATCATAAATCTCACGTTGGTAGCGGCGAGAAATCTCCCCCTCCTTGTCTCCCCCACCCCTTCCAAAAATAATTGATGATGATGATGATAATTAATAATAATAATAAAACAAAAAGAAGAGGAGGGGAAAAAAAAAAACTTTAGGCATCCAAAGCTAGTATCCAGAATTCTCCAGAGGCTCTGCGGAGATCCATTGGCTCGGGAAGCAGGCGGTGAGCGGCGAGCGGAGAGAGCCGCGTCCCGGAGCTCGCGTGCCGCCCTGGCAGCCGCGAACAGGTGTTGCCGCGCCGGCTGGCGGAGCGGTGTAGCCGGGCGGAGCGCTCCTCGTGCGCAGCCCCCGCCGGCGCGCAGAGTGGCGCAGGCAGCGGCATTGGGCTGGGTTTAAGGTAGCGCCGGGTGGGGAGGAGGAGGAGGGAGGGAGTGGGGGGAACGCCCGAGCTTCCCCCCTGGTCCTAGCGCCCGCCGTGCTGCCCGCTTGGGCTCTGCGGCAGGCTGGGGCGCACGCAGCGCGCGGCGGCCGAGCGCGGGACTTCTTGGGAAAGACCAGCGGAAAGGAAACCTCTGCTTTATAGAAAGAAGAGCGAAAAGAGAACAGGCCTGGCCTCCCCTAACCAAGGGCAGGAAGGAATGGGGGGGGGTCTCTTGAGACTCCTAAGTTCTCCTGCAGAACCGGGGGGGGGGGAATCAGACCAGAACCTTAAAAAAAAATCTAGCTTGCTCCACGCACGCACGCACGCGCATGGAGCATCAGAGTGAAACTGGAAAAGTAATTTTCACGTGGACTCTGTAACCTGGCCTTGCCTTATTTAAAATGGGACGGGAGGGAGTTGAAGGGAAGGGAGGGGTTGGGGGGGTTGGGTCGCACACCTTGGATTATTGCAGGTAAGTCATTCTCAGTTTCTCACACACACGCGCGCGCACACACACGCACACACACGCGCGCGCGCGCACGCCGTTGTGGACACTGTTTCGGTTTTGTTAGGGACGTTCCGCTGGGCATCTCTGGATGGAATGGGACTATGTTTAGATCCCACCCCGCCGCTGCCCGGATCCCCTTGCTCGGGTACTGTTGGTGGGTCGCGGGGTTGGGGTGGGGGGGAGGGGGACCCCAAATGTTCTGTGACCTGGAGTTGGACCTGCGCCGGACTCTCGCGCGCACGCACGCGCGCGTCTTCGGAGAGTCTGGGTGCAAAGAACGCTCTAGGAGATCGATCCCCTACGAGCCCCCTCCCCAAGCCCCGCCAAGCTGGCTTGGGCTTCGAGAAGTCCAAAGCGGATTTCCTGGGTCTTCGCTCTACGGGTCCACGGCTCACCGCGGAACCCCGAGAAGCCGAGAGGCGAGGTGCTTTGCTGCCAGGCGCCGCTTTCGGCTCGGTCCTGCCGGGAGGCACGTGGAAGCCTGGAGCCCCAGTCCCAACGCTCCGGCTTTTTTTGCTGGCAGCCAGAGGCCTTCGCAGCCAGCAGGAGGCAGGGACAAAGAAACTCGCTGCCCCGGGGTTGCCAGGGACCCGGCCCTGCGACGGCGTTCTCGGCGCCCAGGGTCACCCGCCAGCGCCGTGGTCCCCCAAGCGGCTGCAGACGCGGAGCGGAGCGCCCCCCAACACACACACACACACACACACACACGCCCAGCAAGCCCGCCCTCGGGACCCAGTCTCTCCATCTCCCCCCGCCTCCCCCCCCCTCCTCTTTGTTTAAATTGCCTTAGAAACGGCCCGACTCTAGGGTCAGAATGGTCAAAGTTGCCAGGACTTGAGCGCAGCTCCCAGACCCGGGTACGAATGAGATCCAAAAGTCCAAAGCGGAGACTGGGCCTCTTGTGATGGGGGCGGTGTTGGGGAAGGGGTGCTAATCAAAACCGTTTCTGGGAGAGAAGTCGGATCTGACTTGCAAGTAAAGACTGGAGGTGACGCTTGGGGCTGGCCCTGGGACTTTTAGAAAGGTAGCAATGAATTTGCAGATTTGGGAGGGGGGCGGTGCTGGAGGTGTCACCGACCTTCCCCTGTCTCCCTCCTTTCCCTCCTCCTCCCCCTCCTTTTCCCTCCCCTCCTGGATTGAAGCCAGGCTCCCGCAGCACGAGGGAGGGGGAGGGAAAGGCCAGGTGATGCTCCCCTCTTTCCACTCCCACCTCCCCCACCCCCTTTGCCGCAGTCTGGGGTCACTGAGTGTCCGGGCACTGGCTCAGTGCGCCTGGCTAGCCTGAAAGTCTCTAAAGCCCAGAGCCCTGCCCCGTGGTATTTACAGCAGTTGCATCCGCAGTGGTGCAGGGCAAGGTTTGCCCAGATACAAGAAGCTGGGAAGGAAGTTCTACTTCTTATAAACCACTCGAGTTGCTAGCGTTCATCACTAAGGCAAGCGAGCAGAGCTGGGGGAAGCAAACGGGCGTTCCTCGGCCACGTAGCTAAATAAATAAAGTCCTGTTGGAAAATAGACACAAAAAGAAAAGGGGAGAGAGAGACAGCAACAGAGAGAAAGACAGAGAGACAGAGAGACAGAGACAGTGTGAGAGAGAGAGAGAGCACGTGGACATTTCCACTGAGGACAGACAGGACTGGAAACGTTTCCACCAGCTGTCTCCAACCACATTCTTTCGCTCTGAATTTAGACCATCATCCAATAAGCAAAGCCCATTTCCGCTCTGATTCCTGCAGCGCCCTGACTGTCACTTTAGAAAAGGATGCAGCAATGAGAGAGAAGGATGGAGCTGATGGAGCACTTTTCCAGGTAGAAGCAGCAGACTCCCTCCTTCAGGGTACTTCTCTTTCACTGCAGTTGGATAACCCACATGTCATCTGCCTCCCTAACTCCAGGGGAAAGCAGCTCCCCTGTTTCCTTGTCCCCTTGGCCTTACTCATCAGATTTCTCTGCTGATGTTTCATGAATTTCTGTATGTAGTAGTAGAAGCAATGTCCTTTCTTTTCCCCCTGTCTAAATTACGATTCTTAGGCCCTCACTCTAGCTCACATCCTCACGAGTCTCTCTCGGCACTGCTATGATCATGATTATGAACCCCTGTGTTTTTCTTTGTTATCACTGTTGTTGATGGTGGTAATTATTTGTGCTGGTCCTGGGACTTGAACTGTGACCCTGGGCACTGCCCCTGAGCTTTTATGACTCAAGGTTAATACTCTACCTCTTGAGCCACACCTCCACTCCTTGCTTGTGTGTGTGTGTGTGTGTGTATATATGTGTGTGTGTGTATGTGTGTGTGTGTGTGTGTATGTGTGTGTGTGTGTGTGCGCGCGTGCCCCGCACTACTACTGAGGCTTGAACTCAGAGCCTGGGCACTGACCCTTAGCTTTTGTGTCCAAAGCTGGTGCCATAATGGGCTTTTGGTGGTTAATTGGAGACAAGAGTCTCATAGGCTTTCCTTCCTGGGCTGGCATCAAACCTTGATCTTGAGATCTCAACAGATCAGACATGAACCACTGATGCCCTTTCTGTGGTATTTGCTGTCTTTTTCACTGTCCATGTAGTACTTCAGCCTAGACAGGAATAAATGGTAAGAGAAATCAAAAGGGTGATGACAGGAATGGGGAGAGGAATTGGAGGTCTAAGTCTAGAACATTCCATCCAATCCTTCAACTACTCCTTGTGTGATTGAATCCCCTCCTCGTGGGCCTCAATGAGTTACTGTGAAACTTCATTTACATACATGTATAGAAATGTGGCCTATAAACTATTACAGAGAATCCTGTTCATTGCTTCAACCAATGTATTAATAAATTATAATCATAAAAAGAAATTAGTTCTATTCAAATCGATTTCATTTTTACTATAAACAAATTTTTATACTGAAAATGATGTAAGTCTTTATGTAACATGTGTGGCTTTATGTTAAAAAGAAAAAGCCAAACAGAGGGGCATGGTGGTACACTTCTGTAATTCAAACTCCTAGGAAAGTAGAAGAAGGACATTACGGTCTTCCACTGGGACCAAAGATGTTCTCTAAAAACAAAATTAATGCACAGTCAGAGAGATAGCAGGGCAGGTTTTCCCTCATATGTGGAAGCTAGAACTAAAATACTGAGACATCGTAAATTATACAGGTCTCGAGGCATTCACACACAGTGAGACCAAAGCAGAATACTATTAGGAAAGGAACAGAAAGGCACAATGCCTATGTGCATCTGATCATACAAAATAATATTTATCGAAATGAACCCCAGAAAATGAAAACAAGACTTTTCTTCTTTCTTGCTGTTTTTGTTTTCTTTTTGTTCTGTATATTCATTTATTTGTTTTGGGAAGTGTTAGGGAATGCCCAGAAATGGAGGGACAAACGATGAACAAATGCAGCAATGGTACTCACTGGATACTATGTTGAAAATGAACTATACAACTTGTTGGTGGGATGGGAAGGAAAAACTGGGAAAGAGCAAGGGAAGGGGTGACACTTTCCAAAAAGAAACGTACTCATTACCTGGCTCATGAAGTGATAATCCCTCTGTACATCACCTTTATAATAAATATTTAAAAAAAATTTTAAACAATGCAAAAAGGACTAGGGGTATGTTCTTGGCTAGTAATTAGTTTAAACCTCAGTACTGGGAAAAAATAATAATAAAATAATGTTTTAAAATTTAAAAGGATGAAACCAATCTTAAAAGAAAATAGGGGGGAGGATTAGCTGGGGGGCAGGGGGATGGGAAGGGATGGGAAGGGGAAATAAAGGAGGAGGCTACAATGCTTGATAAGAAATGTACTCATTATCTTGCCCATGTAATTGTAACCCCTCTGTATAGTATTTTCACAATAAAAAAAAGAAAGTAGGGGGGGCACCTCATCTATAGAAGAATATTGGTAACAATTACATCAGAGTTCTCTTCAAAAACCATGCAGGCACCAGGCAGCAGTGGCCCATGTTTGTAATCCTAAGTACTTAGAAGACTGAGATCTAATGGATCACTGTTCTAAGTTAGCCTGGGCAGGAAACTCCAGGAGACTCTTATCTCCAATTAGCTATCAAAACCTGGCTGAAAGCTGTGGAGCTGTGGCTTGAGCACAAAACTCCATGAGAATCTTATCTCCAAATAACTACCCCCAAAAAGGCTGGAAACTGCCAGGCTAACCTTGAGCACAGAAGCTCAGGGACAGTGCACAGGCCCTAAGTTCAAGCCCCAGAACCAGCGCAAGCGCGCACGTGTGCGTGCACACACACACACAC